TTGCGATTATAAAGCATAGTAGATTATGTTTTAATGATTTTATGCTCTTAGTTTGATCATTTCAAACGGAAAAACTTGAAATTGAATACGTTACTTCCATTTTCTATAAGATATGTTCTAATTTTTTCTTAGCTAAATTAATCGAATGGGAAATTGCATAGAATAATGTGTATAGGAACTAAAATAAGAAATGGAAATGCCTGGTGTATCCAGCTTCATTTTGATTCATTCATGTCTCATTCGATGGAGTACATTGAGGTAAGAAAAACCTTAAAAGAGATTGAGCTCATGACGTATTAATGAAAAGTGATGACCGTTTTACTGAAATTTTTACTAAAAGCCAGGCATTCCCAAAAACCGAAATGAGAACTTTTGACTGAAAATTTAGCTTAGAGACGGGTTGAATAGCTATTAGATAGTCCTGAAAGTTTCAACGAAAACGAACATATTTTTCTCAGGATATTCAATTTCCAAAAAGGAAACAGCCATTTATCGTAGGAGGACGCAATAATCAACTCTACTTGAAAATTAATTATCTCGAGAAAAACATGTTTATTTTCGTTAAAAATTGTAGGGCTATCATTTTATGACTATCAAACAGAGCTGCCACCTCTTCTGCTTTTTTTGATACAACGTTATTTATCATTTCAATCGACATTTTTCACCTGAAACACCTTCGTTTCCATAATTATTAAAAAAAGCCGTATCAAAAACTACTGATATTTTTGTGCTATTCTAATTCTTTCTATTTGATACAGATGATTTCTATTTTCTATTGACTACAAACAACTACCAGCCTATATATTTGGCTTCAAATCAATTCTTTACCTTTGGTTTTCTATCGTATTTTAATTACTCATGTAATTCATATACATCAACATATACATTCTTTCGTTTGTTTACTCAATGAACATGAATATTTAATATGATTAGTGAAAGGAAAGGAACAGAAAAAAAACAGCCCTAGATGATAATGACAGCTCGACTAGCGAAGAAGGTATTCACAAAGCAGTGGTAGTTGCTGAAGTAATAATTATGTCATCAGGAGTTAACTAGAAAACAGAAATTGAATAGAGTTATCTTCAACAGAGAATGGTTCAAAGTCGTCGAATGTTAATGATCTTTAAAAGAATATAAATTTGATCTGTCTCAGCTAACATTTATCGTTCGTCATCAACAGTTTTCCGAACATTGCTAATAAAAAGCCAATATTGATAATCCTATGAACAATAAGAAACAAAAAAATTTTAAATGCTAGGATTTAATCAACGATTATTTTGAATTTCTCCTTATCATATACTGTAATGGATAAATATTTGTTAGTTAAAAAAGATTTGTCGAAAGCTCTTAAATCAGATGAAGAATACTCTTTAAAAAAGAAGAAAACGTGTTCAATTAATCTGTCTATTTGTTAATTAGTTGTGTTTTGTGATGCCATACACAGCGAGTGGTTAGTATACTGAAACTAAAATTTAAAATTAATGGGTAGCTCGTAATAAAAGAAGGTCTCAATATTTTGTTAACATCTTCAGCATTATCTTATCGTTCACACTTTATTTTTTTTATCGAAAGATTCACCGTCTGATTCTGCAGAAATTGGTATATTTCGCTGTAAAAAAACGCTTATCTCTCTTTCAACATCATCATGATTTAAAACAAGCATTACACACAACTTTCAGTCTTCATTTTTTTCAATTTTTTTTCCAAAATCTCTAGTTTCTCAATTAACCCTGTTACTTTGGGTATAATTTGTTCGCCATTCAAGAGATAAATTGGTTCATTTCAATCAACGTACCAAAGGCAAATTATTTTATTTTTGGATAAAGAATATGGGCACGACCAATGATAATAAGACTAATCTAAGGACTGAATGTTTTCGAAAAAAATTGAAAAAAATACAGATTTTGAAAGTTGTGTGTAGTACTCTTTTTAAATCGTGCTGATGTCGAAAGAGAAAGAAATAAGTATTTTTACAACGAAATATGCAATTTGTGCAGAAGCAAATAGTGAATCTTTTGATAAAAAAAAAAAAAGTGTGAGGGATAAGATAACGCTTAAGACGTTAACAAAATACTGAGACCCTCTTTTACTACGAGCTACCCGTTAGTTTCATATCATAAACATACTTTCTGCTGTCTTTCTGTTTTTCGGACTTCAAAAGGTGGTAGGGCTGCTATCAAATCTATTTATAGACAAAATTTCAGGTCAAAACTCTTAGTAAAATTTCCAGTACAGAGGCTGTAACTCTTCACCAGCATACGGTAAGCTCAAACCCTTTAAGATTTTTCATCAAATCAAGCAATTATACAGTGATCAGACATGATTTCAGAAGTCATCTTAGGATTTTTGTAACTGTCCAGTGTTAAAAATAGACCTATCTTGATTTTTGTAGATCATTCCGACGCAACCATTAGTTTAATAGATTATGATAAAAAAATTTTCTTCGTATGTTCGGAAGAAGAAGTTAGTTGATTTTACATTTCTCAGTTAGTATTCGTCAAAAAAAAAAGAAACAAATGTTTAAACCATTAATGAACTCGAAACTTTTTATTTAAGTTTGTCTAATTAAATGACAAATTTTTCGATTCCATTTTCGACAATATAATTGATTCTAATTTTCTAAATTCGATAGTGAACGTTTAATTATAATGATATAGAATTCACATTAAAATAATAAGTTTTATTAACTTTTCTCAAAATACGAAATATATGTCTATACTTTTCATCTCTTAAGTGAAAAAAAGGAGTACGAGTCACTTTGCCGACACATCATTTTGCTGACACCACTTTGCCGACAAATCGTTTTGTCGATAAAAATTTAAAGTCAAAAAAATTAAAATTTGTTGGAAATAGTGCGTTAGAAAATTTTTCAAAGCTTAACTATTACTCGCTAGATAATTTACAATTTAATCATGGCTTCAAGTCAAAATAGTGAGAAGGCTTCAAGCAGTTATGCTGAAGTAATTAATTCTATAAAAGACAAGCCCAAAATGAACATTGACGGGTTTTTGCATATCAAAGAGAAAAATCGCGATGATTTGTATTATTGGATTTGCGAACGCAAAGGACAAAAGGAAATGAAATGTGTTGCAAGGACCACTACAATTTGTATTGTGGGTCAGCATAAGATTCGCAAATTTGATGCTAAGCAGCACAATCATGTTCCAGAAGCAAACAAAGCGAAAGTTTTGAAAGCCAGCATTCAAATTAAAGAACTGGCTCAAATTAGCAACGATCAACCTGCACAAATCATTACTAATGTTATTGCTACAACATCACATGAAATACAATCGTGTTTGCCACGAAAAGATGATTTAAGACAACAAATCAAAAGAGGAAAATGTGTTTGTAATGAAGAAGTTGAACCAAAAATTTTGGACGATTTTAAATTATCAGATCTATACTCTATTACACTCAGTGGAATGCATTTCGCAAAAGACATCACTGATGAAACTGAAAGAATTTTGCTTTTCACAACAACTGAAAATATTAAATAATGGCAAGAAGCGAAATTTTGGATTATGGACGGAACATTCAAAACTGTTCCAACTTTGTTTCGGCAATTATGCAGTATTCACGTGCCTGCTGGAGGAAATGTTAATCACTGAATTGTTTCATTGATTTACGCAGTAATGAGTGTGAAAAGCGAAGAACTATATCAAAGATTATTTCAGGAACTAAATGGATTGGCAGAAGAAAATCAATTGGAATTAAAATCAGACTTTATATTAACTGATTTTGAAAAGGGTTCAATCAATCCAGTAAAATCAGAGTTTCCAAGTGCTCAAAGCAAAGACTGTCATTTTCATTTAGGTCAATCTGTATACAGACAAATTCAAGACGCAAGACTGACCAAAAAAGATGGAACTGACGAAAACTTTAATCTTCTTGTAAGACATATTCTAGCTTTGGCTTTTTTAAGCTCTGAAGAAATTCCTGATGCTTTTGACGAAGTCAAGGCTTTACTACCATCTGATGTTGAACCAATTATCTAATGGTTTGATTTGACAATAACTATCTGCGTGGAAGAATAAAAAGAACATTGAGAAATGGCACAATCCAAAGACACAACCTATGATATCTACCAGACACGTGGTCTGTCTTTGATAATATGGAATTCACATTTCTAAGAACTCAAAACAAAGTGGAAGCCAGGCATAGACGCTGGGGAAACATTAATTGCTCGATCTCATGTTGGGATTTCCAGTATGATTAAACAAATTGAAAAAGAACAAAATGAAGTTGACAGGGAAATTGAAAAATCGATGCGCGGAGAACCAGCTTCAAAAAGCGCCAAGAAGACGAAAACAGAGAATCCAGACTTCAAAATGTTATTGCTGATCGCCATAATAGATCAACTATCGATTTTCTTCCGAGCATTGCCCATAATCTTTCATTGTAACTATTTGTAATTTATATTAAAACATTCCAAAAATCCCAAAAAAAGAAGAAAACTTTAAAAACCTCAAAAAATCAGAAAATTCTAAAAATCCCAAGAAAAAAGAAAATTTTGTGAAAAACAAAAAAAATTAGATTTTATGTCGTAATTATCTGTATTTGTTGTCCTTGTCTATGTAAATATCTGTCTATTGTCCACAGGATACTAGTTCATACACCTCAGGGTAGTGTACCCTGGAAACTACTGTATTTATTAGGTTAAGATATGGATAAATCTTGTCGGCTAAACAAGCTGTCGGCAAAGTGAACGCGACCCGAAAAAAAAATCATATTTGTGAATGTAATAATAGGAAGAATGTTATTCTATTCTCAGTTTTTCGCTTTTTTTTCTCATTAACATTTTAAACCTTTATTTGTTTTACTTCTTTCAACGTATATTTGTTTGCTCAGAGTAGAATAAAAGAAACTGTCTGTCGTCAATCAGTGAGAAAAAAAAGAATAATTTTGCATTGGTTTGAATATACAACGGCTTGGAAGTTTTTTGTCACACTATCAAAACATATTGAACATAACTGTACTAATTATAGATTCATTTTTACAATATGACTGAATATCAAAGTGAAATGCTTTCGTGGAACTATGGGGATGGATATGAAAACGTTGATATGGAAAAAATTATTCAAGTATTTCAAGATTTTGTGGATAATATAACTTTGAAAACAAGTGAGGAAATGACGAAATCTGATGTAGTATTCCAACAATTATTAAACAAGTTTCAACAAGTTCGTGAGAATGAAGATAATCTTCAAGATCTTATTCATGGAACAATACCATTATGTAATGAATTTATTGACACTATCGAGAAAGTAAATTTTACTTGTATGAATGATTTTCAAAATTGTCTCAAATTATTTCGTCATATTGAATCTGTTTTTCAAATAATTATTTCGATGGAAGATGAAAAGTTTCTCATACGTGAGATTTTCTTTGCATTACTCAACCTACTTTCTAAACCACAAATTTGTTTCCATTTAAATGATGATCAACATACAACAATACCACACAAAGAAGTTTATAAATGCGTAACCAATCTGCTTTTAAGTTTAGCTTGTCACAAGATCATACTTGTTCCATTTATGAGTGACGATAGTACTACACGTAAATACACTGATATATTCAATGCCATGTATAAACGAGTGGAACGCAATCTACAGCTTAGTACTCACACTAGACAGCCAACAGTTCCTGATAATCAAACAACATTGGTTATTTTATCATTCTTTTGGAATCTGTCTGATAGAACAGTTATTGTTCCATGGCTTCTTGATATTGGTCTGGTAAAAACTATACTAGAATGTTTGCAAAGAATAGAAATATCTTCAGAAACAACTAAACAAATCATCAGCATTATTCATAATATATCACGACACGATGAAGGTGCTGATGAACTGAATAAATTCCGTGGTCTTGTGATTCTTAAAAATATTCAAAGCAATAATAGCCAAGCATTAGACGAGTTAAACAATCTTCTCATATCAATGGCGATTGCTCTGCTCTCTACACCCAAACAGATTCACTCAGATAATAAACGAATGAATAGAATTCTTAATCAATTATTGCAAATCACTATGGAAGCCGCCGAGGTGAGTTCTTAAAAGAAAAAAAATATTGACATTAGCAAGCTGTAGGACTTTCCAGATACCAGCCCGATCGAGCTCAAGTCCAGAAGTTTAGCTTTTCTCGGGTCTGGATCCGCAAAAACGTAGATATATAGTTCCCTAGTTAATACAATTATGTGTTTAATACTTTCAATCAAATATATCTTTTGTCAAAATTTAACGAATCTAAAATTATCTAATAGTCACAAACACTTGAATATGCCTCCAATAGAAAATTTATCCATTATGGTAGTCCAATGAAGTTCTCAAAGGACATTGAAATACTACAGAATTTACTCGAATATTAGGATGTAATATTGAGATTACTGCACACTTAACTGTTATATGAAACAGATTATTTCTAATTTCAGAATATGTCAAGATAATATTCTAGAATTTCGATAATGAAAATATAATGGTCTATTTTTTTAGACGGAAGATCATCGAGATTCATATGGCTTCCATGTATCTGAACCCTTAGCTGTGTTTACCAAATTGTTTGTTGATGATCGTTCGCTCGAATATGTTCTCAGTCATGCAGAAACTGATCCACAACTTGATGTTATATCAACAATTAACTTATTCATCGATTTGTTCATGAAATTTCGAGGTGCATTCGTTGAGAAAAAACAGTTAGAACAGTTTACATGCACAGCTCTATTGAACATTTTATGGAGTATCTCATTTCAAGATCGATATAAAACAAAACTTCAGCAAAACAAAGATTTTATGAAGACTATTACTAGTTTAGCTATGGATAATGGCGAAAAAATAGTCGAAGAGTATGTTTCACGTTCAATGGAAAGCATGATAAAAGCTGCTAACGGTATTCTTTATAACCTTAATGAAATATCCGATGATCAAAATGCTGATATCGCAGATCGACAATTAATCTCTAATGCTAGCTGTGAAAAACCAATGATCATGATTAGCTATGCTCATAGTAACAATCATTTTTGTAATAAAATTCTTGCCGAACTCAAGGAAAAAGGAAATCTGTTTGGAATTTGGATTGATCGAGATTATTGCTCGTCAAACGAAGATTTATGGGAAAAAATTGCTCTTGGAATAAAACAATCAAATCTTGTTCTATGTCTTCTTTCACAAGAATATTTCAATAGTAAATCATGCCGTAAAGAAGCTATTTTTGCAATCAAACGAAAAAAGTCAATAATTCCTGTGTATATTGGTGAACCAGGTGATTGTGATTGGCTTGGTATGTTGTTTTTCTTCTAATTGTATACAATAGAATATTTCAATACTGAATATCATCTATTCAAAAGTATTTCAATAATATCAACTATTTATAAAAATTACTTCATGTAGGATATATTAACATATATTATAGTGATGCAAATCAAAACGAGCAAAAGATTAAATTAGAATTATATCCTCTCGTTCTGCTACCAATTACAAATAGTATGGTAGATCGAAAATACAACGAAACATTGTATTGACTGACTTGAAAAATATAGGACAAATCCCAGTATTAAAATCATATCAAATTCACTCTGCGTAAAATCTGTCTGATAGCAATCATGTTCAATAATTTTAAGAGAAAATAAATGTATACTGTAGAGTTTATGTACGGAAATATAGAGTTTTTATATTTGAAGTTAAATCTTGTCATGATCTCTCAAAAACGTTTGTGAAGTAGATGAAACTGGTCTAGATTCTCGACTATCAGTATCAGTAGCCGTTTGATTTTGAAAAGGAGAATCTCTATTCTCCATAGTCATATTACTTCTTATTTGTCGTTATAAAACTTTGGTCTTCCAATGAGTTAAATAACCGGCAATTTTTTGTGAGCGTAATGATCATTATAATTCTCAGTCTTTAACCAGTCGCTCAGCTCAGACCAATTGATAAGTAAATCACAAGAAGGTTGTCTTCAGCCCAAGCTGATCAAATGATAGTCATTATTGTTTTCATTATACCTACTTCAAATAAAAACTATTTCAAGTTTAAAACATTGCAGAATATAACGACAAAACCATTCATGTTAGAATTGACATACATGCTGGAGTGAGCTTCTGTACTAGGTTCCATTTTGACAGTGGCTCTACTACTATATCCTCTAGAGGGTACTGTTAAGAGGTGGTCAGATTAATGACTGACCAGACGCCAGTACCGATCCCATCCATGGTTCATGGATTTTCTTCCATTTTACAATATAATTAATCAATTTTTGTGAAATTTTGCAGACATTCATATTGCTGAATTGAAATATGTTCGTTTCAAAAACAATACAGAAAAACTTGACCACGATAGACTTCAAGAACTTTCGAAAACGATTGAAGCTACAATTAAAACAACACAAACACAGCCTCTACAACAACGAGCAAAACAACATACTATACTAACACGATCTCCAAAAGAAGCTGAAATAATTAAATCGACTACTTTCGATGTGAACAAGCCTGTTGAGAAGTGGACAGTTGATGATATTCATGCATGGTTTGATAGTCACAAAGTTCCCGATACTCTTGTAAAATTATTTGATTTTCAATCAGTTGCTGAGATGCACGAATATGCTTTGAAACTACGTAAAGGTTCGAAAAAAGAATTTATCAAATATGAACAACGATATGCTAAAAATCATGGCGGAGAAGAACTTGAAGAATACATATTTAATCGATTTAAAAATGCTATTCTCAAGCTACCAAATAGTCCGAATCAAACAATGAAAACATCAATATGTTCTTCTCAAATATCAACACCGAAATCGAGTACTTGTACTATTTCATGAATCCAGCTTAAATTCTAAGAACTTGAAATATATTAAATAAATCATAGTATTTTTTTTAGCTTGTATGCAATTAACAGTTTTTCTTTCTTGTTGCTTTTTAATAAATCCTAAGAAATACCCAAATAATAATCTTATATTGATGTAATTTCTTAAATAAAATTAATTGAACATCATGAAAAAGATAAGATTATATTAATTCAAGTTTGAAATCCTATCTTTCCAACGAATAAATATCTTTTTCTTCAGATGATATAAATGTTCTATTAAATTAATGCAATGTCACTCTATTAAATATTTCAAGAGGTTTTTTCTACTAATCACAAAAATTTCTAACATCATCTTACTGTTTATCTAAAATTACACAACACGATGTCAACGGATTTATCTGATTTAAACAAGCAGTCAACAAATTAAAAAATCGTTTACTAGGAACAGTTGCACGAAGCGCAATAAACTGTTTGTCGTGAATAATCTTAAAGTAGCAATAAATGCGCTTATCTAGAAGGATTAGAATGTTGCCTCCTCGGCGATATTATGTCTTGATCACTCCTTGTGGTTAGAGGAGTAAACCAATGCATTGATCGATGGCAGAAGCTGGATTTTTTCGATGAATCTTTTAAAAAGTCTTAATTTAGAGAGATTTTATAATGAATAAGAGAGAAAACGATGGTAGACAACTTAGTGACAAGAGACTAAACAGTGACGGATCCGAAAACTGATTTTGAATGTCGGAATTTTTAAAAATCAAATATCTATCTTTGTGTCGCAACCGTGGCGGAGGCGACTCAGTAGATTGGTTTATACCTCTGCTCGTGATGCTCTTTCTTGGCAATCTTTCTGATCTTATTCTTTTCCTTGCTTCATGCCACCTTTGTTGTTTCATTCTTTTAATTTTTCTAAAACCTTCGACATATTAGAAGACTCTGTATCGCACGTTGTGCTCTTCCTTCATTTACATCTCCTTATATGGAAGAAAGAGCGAGCACGCCTGAGTGGGCACAAACAAAGCACAAACGGTCACACGATAGAACAATAAGAGATAATCACAAGGTCAACACGTGAACACACAAATATAGCGAAGAGGACAGCGTTATATAAAATGAAGTGTAACGGTCAAATAATCGTTACAGACTTCCCTTGCATAAACGACGCAGCAGGCAGATTAGAAGACCTAGTTGATTTTTTACTTTTTCTATCATGTTTATACTTTTTGTTTCTATATGTGTGTGTTTTTCTAAGCTTCGCTTCAAAAATATTTTTCTACTCTATCTGACATGCAACGTGGTATGTGCTTGAATGATACACAATGTAATTAACGAACATATATATGCAGCATGTGAAAAAAAACTAGAGGCCGAATCGAATCAACTTTTACTAGTTCGAGTGCGGTTTGGTTCGATTCATTTTCGATCTCTGTGAGAAATATTGTCTTTTATGATCAAATTCAGTTATTTCTGATTTGCATCATTTGTCTCTTTTCATCAACAGTCAGCTATATGATTGTTTTCATAATATCGACTTTTAGGTTAGTCGAGTCGAACCTAAGCAAAAGTAATTGTTCCCATTGTACGATATATGTTGCTTAGGGTGTATTGCACTGGTGAGGATTGCAACGAGTTTTTATTCATTGTGCTATACAGCATAACAGTTCTTAGCATAGTAGGATTACTATTTTGTCTTGTTATCAATTAGATTCATTGTTTATCGTGACAATCGGTCAGTCGGTCGCAAGCTAATGCATAGCAAACTATTTTTTTCGTTCTTTGTCATTGCTATTCAATACAATGAATAGCCATCAACGAACTATCTAGAAATAAAGTTGGAAGAAAAAACACCTCAAATTAGTGCGCAAGTGTTCTTATCCTTTCAGAGCAAAAACATCACCTGATGGACAGTAGGGTCACTAAAAGTTATGGCTCTATTGCACTCGTTCGGCATAATTATACGATTTTTCGAGTAGATACGACTTGGACTGAACTGAATCGAACCTGAACTCGAAAACCTCGGTTCATTTCGGGCTCTGATAATAGCATTTTATGACTGAGTTCTTTTATCCTATGGAAAATGTAACTACCATGAAGTGTCAATTAATTGTATTTTGTATGATTTAGTACATTTTATAATAAAGATAGTCATTTTGTGAAATATTCTTGAGTAATTGAACATAGACTTCTTTTATTAATTATTCTAGTGTAAAAAAATGAAATAAACGTTTGGTGACAACATAATTAATATAGAAAGACTTTCATAAAAATTATATCGTTAAGGGTAACTAAAGCAAAATGACTTCGTTTAGGGACAAAATAGAAGACCCCCCGTTGTAACTTGTCAACGATAAGCTAGAATAGAAGACCCGAGATCTTCTAATGTGTCGAGTACTTTATAATTTATTTTACATCTGTTCACTACTGGTATCTACAATCCTAGTTTTCAATTGTCACTTTAGGATCAACATAATCATAGGGTCAATGAATACTAATAATAATAAAAAAGTTTATTTGATTGCATGTTTTTTTTTATTCGCTCATATATACATGCCACCTACAATGATGAATCATCGTTGATTGTAAGCGTATGGTTATTACATTCCCCCAATCAACACCAAAATGTGTCATGTTATTCGAACCTTTAAATATTTTCTCATTCCTTTATTGCATATTTTACGATTCTGTTTTTTATTATTTTGATTTCATATGAGCTAAAATATTGACTTATTATATTGAAATTTTGAATATTTTTTCCGACATATTCCAATGGTCGTTTGTCTTCGACTCGAGATCGATGACGCATTTGAATCAGATTTAGAAACACTTAAATATATTGTTTACGAAGGTACTGTTCTTTTTTTAACTAATTTTATTTACCAACTATGATAAGTATTGTTATTTTTAAGCATCTTTCCACGAACCAACAGAATTCTTACCTTCAAATACGAATAATAAAGATTTATCTACAGTAAAAACTGCTAGTGCTGGTCAGAGAGAACCACGTGAACTTTTTGTTGAAACTTATGTGTTTGACGGTGAATAGAAAAATTGATAATTATCAATGATTGATACACTTTCTTCTTTTTATTTCATTCAATTTAGAATCATTACCTTTACCAAATCATCGTTCCTTATCATCAAACGTAATGAGTGATGCTATTGAAATGACTTATCTTGATTTATCCAAACGTCGCCAACAACAACAACAACAACAACAAGACGTGAATATTTCAAATACAAATGAATCTGATGCTGTACCAAAATCAGCAATAACCGAGGAATCCCAACAACAGCAACAATTAACAACACAATCAACTTTTACCGATATTACTGATTTACCAACAACAACAACAAAAGATACGACTAAAACAAAAAAAAATCGAAAAGTGTCAACAACTACTAATGATACAAATCGTAATATTTCAAAAACACTATATAATTTAAATCATTATAAGATTTATTTTAATTCAAAGGTATAGAATTATCGACTCATGTATCAACATCTCCAGATTTACAAATACCATTTTATTGTGGTAATCATCTTGTTGATATTACTCGAGGCATTTTACATTTATATAAAGACAAGTAAATAAAATATTTAAATTCATTTATTAATAAATTATATATTTTTTAGTAAAGCATTAGGTACAAATAATGAACCAAAACATAGCGAAATGTTAGCTATGTTAGCTATTCCAGCTGATGTAGCTTGTCGAGAATTGATTGCATTCATATACCCTGCTTAGTACGATATTTTATGTTAAAATTGATATTCTAAATTTCTTTTTTTTTTCTTTGATATTTATTCTTAGTGATGGTATTGAATATTTACGTATTATTCGTGATCCAACACCAAATCAATATATGTGTTTAATTAAATTTAAGTCTCAAGTATGAACTATTGTACAAGAATAGAAATATTACTATACAAGAGTAAAAAAAAAATCGTTCTTTGTTTTTTTTTTAATTTAAAAACAAGAAAAGTTAGTGAAAGATGACGATTTTTTCTTGTAGTGTTTAATTCTTAAAATGTCTTCTTACTTACAATGATTTTAATATTGATATATTCTATTATTACTCTTGTTCTTTTTTTTTTATTTAGAAAGAAGCTGATGAATTCTATGAGTATTATAATAATCGTCAATTTAATTCAATTGAAAAAGGTGTTTGTCATTTAGCATTTGTTGCAAAAGTTGATATAACTAGTACAGCTAAAGTAATCATTGTTTGATTTTATTCACCTTGAATAAATTTTTGTTTTTCTATATCTATATAGGAAGGATCATGTCCGATTCCTGGTCTTACTGAATTACCACCATGTTATATTTGTCTAGAAAGAATGGTAATTTAGTAATTTTTATTTATTTAGATGAATATTTTTTTTAAGGATGAAAGTCTTGCTGGAGTATTGACTATTCTATGTAATCATTCATTCCATGGTGATTGTCTTATTAAATGGGGTGATAGTTGGTAATGAACTTATTTATTTTTATATTTAATTCATTTAAAAATTTTTAGTTGTCCTGTTTGTCGTTATGTTCAAACACCGGAAATGATTGATGGTCAATCATGTTTTGAATGTGGCTCACAAGAAGTAAAAACCGAAAATAAATATTTGCATAATATCTTTTTGTTTCTTGTTTTTATATTCATTAGGATCTTTGGATTTGTTTAATTTGTGGGCATGTTGGTTGTAGTCGGTTTAAGCAAGGTCATGCTTTTGGGTATGTATGTATTTATTGACTTTGGTTTCTTTTTGTGCAACATAATCTAACAGGAGTGTAGAATAGAGCCCATCGAGTCTGGATTTGAAAATTTTTGAACTCGAGAAACTCTAGTCGTTCAAGAAGTGTGTACGATAATACAAAAAGTCAGGAAAAAATATCTGGTATCTTCGGGATGACTATCCAATTGCGATTAGAGAATTTCACCGAGAATGTCAAAATGCAGTTCGACCAAGTCACGATCCAATTCGAAAATTTTGAATCCGATGGACTCTATTGTGAAAGTATA